GACAGAAATATTAAATCTTCAATATTTATGTATAAGTAATTAACTAGTGTATAAATATCAAAGGTAACATTAAATTTAACTTACCCACGCAATATCACGTAAAACTGCCCGAAGACGAGTCCCCAGGAAGTCATCATCGCCGCTGTATGCACCGGCATGCCACAAGAAATACCCCAGTTACACGGGTATTTGATATCCTTCTGTTATGGACGCTGAAAAGAAATAAGTTTAACACTTGGACATCTCATATTTCACAGTGCTATACAGGTATTTTAATTAAAAACTATCATTAGTGACCAATTAAAAAAAGTACTTACCATAATTGAGTACTTAAGTAATCGTAAAGACGATAAATCTTTCTATTTTTTGTACAAAACAACATCACAATGTTGTTTAGAAATTCTGATTTAATTAGGTTATAATTTCGTATAAGCCATCTCTTGTCCGACTAGAGAAATTACCATATAGCCGGCCAAAAGAGATCTACTTACGTATTTAAAAGCGCCGTACGGTAGGTAGAACCGTTGTATGAAGAAATATAGTAGGGTAACCTTATGGACTTATCATTGGAGGACGATGGACATAGAATGTAGATGGCGATACTGTACTTATGTCCAAGTCAGGTCTTTAGGTCATGTCTGTGCTTGAGTATGAATTATAATTTAAAATCTTCTTTTTCATTTCTACTTGTCTTCGGTAATGTATTTTTATAGTTACAATTTACTATTTCAAATTATTACAAAAGCACAGAATACAGGGTATTTGAAGGTCACATAAAATGCGAAAATAATCGATATAATAAAATAAACCAGTTTTTGTTTGAAAACGATTGAATTAGTTGAGATTGGGTGGAATTTTACTATAATAGGGAACATTTTTTTCTATATTGTGGTTGGATTTTGGATATATCGCTGATGGTTAATTAAACTTGAGTTGTACGCTGTTAATTTATATTCACTTTTATTTACTGGTATCATCAAATTAAGAATAGGACATGAACAACTGAATATTATTGTTCAAAATGAGACGAATAGACGAAAATAAAAAATGTTTGGATAAAATGTTCTGAAATACAGGATGTTAAGTTGAAAATTAAAAAAGTAATAATGGGTAAATATATAGGTAGTTATAATTTTATTCAATATAATTTTACTAAAATCGGCACTGACAAAATTTAACTAACAGATTTTTTTGCTGTTAGGTAAACTTATAACATAATACCAAACACGTTTAGTGAAATTATACTAAGTAATAAAAACATGTAAGCCACTAATTTTCAGTTTTCAACTTTTGACACCATTTGAAAACGAATCGAGTACCAATTTATGGTAGGCACATTTAGGAGTATTATTTTCGAAAGGCAAAATTAAAAATTTTTCATTGTTTTTTTTTGTACATGGAAATACTTTGCTGCATGTCCTACAATGATGAAGCTCTCAACGAAGGCGTCTTAAAAAATAAATTATAGAAAATGCGAATGTTACATATTTGATTAGATAATTAACATTGACATAAACTTTCATTGCTCAGGACGTTAAGTGCTCAACTTTGGGTTTCGTAAAGATCAGTTACTGACTACTACTATTTTTTTCTGAACTGTTATCAAAATACTACAAAATTTAGCAGAAAGATTGCATTAATTATATTTTTCATATTTTTTCCAAAATAAGAAAGAATGTTTTTATATGTAATTGAATCTGGGTTGGGAAATCCAAACTTGAATGCTTAACGAAGGCACTTATATCAAGTTAATTATCTAATCAAATATGTGACGTGGCTTTTTAAAATACCATCATTGTGCGCTCCACTGCGTGTCCATCTTCTACAAGAGAAAAAAGGAGGAAACATTTGTAAAGTTGCCTTGTACAAATGTGTACCAAAAGAGGGCAACTGGCTCTCGTAAGCCTTTTTCGTTTAATCGTCTCATTATTTTAACACTAAGCGCCAGCATGGGAAATATATGTTAAAGTTAGTTTTAAGAACTTTTAACATTCAAATAAACAAAAACAATTTATAAATCTATTATAAAAATCCGTGTTGTAACAAAACATAAAATTGTTGAATTTGAAAGATAATATTCTGAAAATGGAAAGGATTTCAGTTGAGAGCCTATTGGACTGAATATTCAGTTTAAAATCGCTTTTCCGGCCTATAAATCTTCAATTGTTTCAAAACGAATAAAATAAAGTAGTTCTGTCTAAAACTAAAATAAATTTGCTATCTCGAAGTCCCCATCGATTATTTCCAAACTTTTCTTTAACGTCTTAGTTGTAAGTTTTATATTACATTTTCTTTAATTTGCTATTTCTGTGGAATCATTAATTTTCACTTGCATTATTGTTCTTCTAAAAAAGCGAAATGTGACTCACGTTTTGCTTGATTGGCTTTAATTTTTGAGATAGTCAACCAGTCAAAATAAAAAAAATTCAAAAAATAATAACACATTAATTTATTTATTTAATCAGTTTTGTCTAAGCTAACCGAAAGGCTGTATTCTATAAACAATGAAAAAGAGTGATTGTTGTTTTGAACTACTTAAAACATTTTCACTCGAACGGCGTGCGTGATTCAATTTAAAAATACTTTCCAGAATAAAACCACGTGTTACAGTTTTGACTTCATTTATTACTAAACAGCCAAGTCATATACAAAAACGTTAATCCAAAATCTAAATTAAAAGTAATAACAAATAGCCTATCTACTAGGGTCGGTAACCAAACATATAAACAGAATGGGCGGATTTTGTTCATACTCGCGCACTGCCACTTAACCTGGATTAAATATAACTGTAAACAAATATTTTACAAACAAATATACTTTTCCAAACAGTGATAAATTATATAAAAAAAATGTTTTTTTATAAGATTTTCTTTTATGTTCAAAGTTAGGACTTTATAATTATTGTGTCGTTCATAGAATTTTGTACTAAATAAGAGCACTCATTTTGGAAATAAATTTTAACCATTTTGGCAAGTTGCTGAACCTTGTAACATTGCATAATGAAATATAAAGACTAACTGAATATGTCTGCCACAGATAGACCACTTGTAGGTCTATTGATTTCGTCTTGAGCTATTCCTAAAGAGTGGAGCTATTGAAAACTTCCTTTCAAGGTGATTTATTTCAACACTCAGAGCCAGCCGAGAGAACATTTTTTTCTTATATTCATGATCAACAGACAAGATACATTTGAAAGTCGCTAATATATCCCTGTGACTATTTTTTTTAATTTGTTTTCCAGTGTTGATTGATTTTTCGCTGATTAGTGTGATTTTCTTGTTCCTTAACTCGTTACCTTGCAAACTGTTGATAGCTTTGATGAAATATTGTAGCAAAGCTTGTTCAAATTATGAAAACTATAAAAATATTCAGCTATTTTTATGGTTATAAACTTTTCCAACACTTAGTCCAATTAGAGGTACTTAGATTACATGCAACATTTTCAGAAGCTTATTCCTTTTTTGTTTTCTACTTGGAACTTTTCAATTTATTTAAAACATTGGACATTGTTATAAGTTGTTATTAGGTATTCTTTGTTATTGTTTATATATTTTGACATAACCGCACATAACCAAAATATTGACCAAAGTCCTTAACCACTTTTTATCACCTTAATCCAAAAATTTTATTCGTACGGTTTTGTCAACTGGAATAAATTTTCATTATTATGTTTAATTTTTCATGTCTTTTATCATAAATTGTTATTTTTAAATAAATAAAGATGTTTTTAACTATAATAGGTAGGTGATAGAGACCACGTGCCTGAACGAAAAGAAGACGTAGATGGCGTATCTGCATAGCATTAAAAATTGACTACTTCATTAAATCGTCACTAGATGCCGCTCGAGATTGCATCCAACACTTTTTACTGTTGCATTATCCTACTATATTATCTTCATACAACGGTAGAACATTAAGCTCGATAGGTAACTGTATTTTTATAGTATAATGCGCCATTTTCGATCCAAGAATCGATCGTTAAATGACGAATTATTTTATTATTTTTGTTTCTATGTTAATTTTTACATTTATGTAACAATATTCTGTTTCTTTTTCCCACATTAGTTACAAAGAATCTTTGAACTCGCACTAAACCCTGATATCAATTATTTTAAATAAAACTACAAGTTATACACAGAGTCTCAAACTTTTACTTATTTTTATTTCAATACAAGAGCTGACAATATACGAGGTACAGAGGTAAGTGTCTTAAATACATGGATGAAAATTTTTAAACCCATTAGTTAAAAGAATTGAGTCATATCGTTTTATTAATTGTATCAGATAACAGTTCAGCCGGAGCATTAAGTATTTGTAAGGAGGAGGATGATTTGTGATTTTAATTATAAAAAAAAAAAATAATAATAATTTGGGTTGCTAAACGTGAAGCTCATTACAATTATAACGTCCCAACGTAGTGCTATATATTACAATATCTTTCCCCCATTACAAATTATATTACATAATTACTGTTATTACTATATTAGTAATTATATTGCCAGTTTTTCAGGAAAGTTGCCAAGTCGTAGATGGTAAAATTGTGACAACAAACCTTTACTTTGTAATACAGTGAGCTAGCTTTTAGCTGAGGACAATTCTTGACAGCATGAAGATGCATTGTAAGTGTATGACATTTCCCGAAAATAGCTCTATTTGTCAAATTCTTTTTCGTTTCTGTCCCTGTCCTTTTCTTCACGATGTTTTAAAAATAAATCTTCCTCTAAGTTTCCGTTTTCAAATTTATAACACTCATCGCATCTATCCTTTCGAGGAGTAAATATTCCAATGTTGAGCTCGTTTACAATTTCCGTTAGTTTGGTTATAGAAAAACACTTTTCCGTTGATATTACACTGCTTCTCATACTCTCAGTGTGATTGAGCCATAAACAGAAATTGTTTTTCTAGATATTCTTCTGACGTTTCCTTGCAACAGCAGTGTGCAATTAAGTAATCGCAAAAATTCTCGAGATATTCTGTAGATTCATGAATATTTTCTCTTTTCATTCTAGCACAGTACTCTCTTGTCTTTCAACAACACCGTCACTACTGTTTAACACCCAATTCCTTACCGACCATTCGCCAAGACCTGTTGTGTTTAGGTACATTTTTTTGCAAACCGGGACGATCTGGTGATTCACCTTTAAAGTGTATATTAGTGTTGTTGTCCTTCTTGAGTCCGATGTTCTATTGTTTGATTTTTTTATGGTAACCGTATTACACACAAAAACCTTTCTTTCGTCCCATGTCATTTTTGACCAAAAATCATTAAATAAAGCTACGCGGTAATTTTCGACAATTAATTTACACTTTCGTAGGAGTTTCTTCTTATCTCTGCAATCGCAACGCGGTTTTAGGCGTCGTTCTGCTCTTTTTGTATCATTGAATGTATTCCTTTGATTTCTTGGTTTTCTGAATCCTAAATATTCTTGCCCTTGCATCCTTAGTCTTTTATTTAGGTGTCTTTGGTTGGTTTTTTCCCGCTTCCTTTTTGATAAATTTTCTTCAGCATTTTCATCGACCTCGGTTGCCTCAGGCTCGACGCTTTCTTTGTTTGGTTGGATATATCCAGTATCGCTTTCATTGCATAAATCTGGTATATATTCTTCATCATTTTTAATCTTTGACTGGATAGCATCTCCACTATCAGCATTATTACTGTCTTCGCCACTCTCTATGTTCCTATCTGGTATGTATTTTTCTTCATTTTCAGAGTGACTATGCTGGTTTTGTCTAGGACTTAAATCAATATTATTAAAAGGTGAATTATTTTGTAAACATCTATTTGGCATTACAGCTGGAAATGACGGCTGCAAATTCTCAATTAAGTCCGATGCATTTAAAAATTCATTTTGGTTTTCTTCTATATCTAAATCATTACAAACTTGCTGTGGATCGTTTTCAGACTGACTTAAAACTTGGTTTGAGGCACCAACAACTGATGCAATTATAGGATGATTTAGGTCTTCTTCAAAAACGAATTCGGTATTTTCTATATCTACTGTATCTATATTGTTCTGACTAACAGAATTTGTTGCGTTCTCTAGAATTTGTATCGTTCGTGATCCCATTGTTACTATACCTAAAAATAAGACATATATTTCTATAAAAAATATATTATAAACAAACTTTTAAAAAAGAACACTTAAAAGTTACAAATAATACAATTTTAGTTTTCTGATACTATAATAAAAGCATTGGGCGCCTTTTGAGTTTGACCTAGGTATCTTTGAAGTGTTAAGCGCTTTTCTATATTTTTCTTTATGTTTCCGACATATTGAATTTTAAATGTCGCCCATACCTTTTATTATATTAGAAATCTATTTTAAATTTTTTAATACCATTTATGAAATCTTGTTCATAATTTTGTTTTTATAAAATGTATTCTGAAATTTTTCTTTTTAATTAACTAACACAAGATTCATCTCAAACATACTAACAAACTAACCTGAAGTTATTTGGAGTGAGGGTAGCCATATGTGAGTAGTAGGGATTAAGTGTAAGGAGTTAAAGAAAAGGTCCTTTATTTCTCACAAGTCAATTTAATTGGCGACCGGTTTCGAAGCTGTCACTTCATCATCAGGCACACCTAAATGGAATGTCAAGGAGTCAGTTGTAATAAAAAACAATTATAAAAGCATGAACGGACTTTAACATATACAAAATAACAGAAAAAACACAAAAGAAAGTTAAACAATAACCTTGACTAACCTTGACTATTTCCATAAAGGAAGCGCTACATAAAGTTTAACAAAACGAGTTAAAAAAGTCATATGTAATACAATAGTATTTTTTAAAAAATATTTTAGGTTAGGTTAAACCGCGAGATGTCTGTTTGAATAAATTAATTAAAACACATGTAAGACAATTATTAACTAAACAACACAAAATAGTTTTTACAAGCACAAACAGTTTAAAAATTTTTAAGGATATAACGTCAATTAATGAAAGTAAAAAGTAAAATTATCAGACTCTCAAGACATCTATCTAGATTTTTAACGAATCAATGTAGTAAACTGTAAATTTTAAATTTAGCGGATAAATAGTGTACTAACAAAGGTGTTATTTACTGAAAGTGAGTATAGGTGGCGGTGACAAAATTTATTGAAAGTAAAAATATTAAACTGGGAAATGAGAAAGCAAAAAAATACTAACAAGAAAATTAGAACACTGAACAAGAAAATATGAAAATTCATATGTAAAAGGGAAATTTGAAGCAGATAATCAAAAGAAAAATTACTTTTACAGGAAACGGAAACTAAGTTGACAAGTACGAATGTCAAAAAAGAAAAGTCAAATTTTGGCGTATGACAACCACGTGGGAGAATTTGAATAAACTAATAAAGAAAACATTTAATAAGATGCGAGTGGGCAAAAATTAATGAAACAGAGAAGAAAAGCTAAATTGGGAGAGTTAATTAATTTGTGGTAAGTAACTGATTGAAGATCAAATGAGTGGGGGTATAAGTCTGAAATTAATTTATTTTAATATGCGCTTATTTAAATTAATTTCAGACTTATACCCCCACTCATTTGATCTTCAATCAGTTACTTACCACAAATTAATTAACTCTCCCAATTTAGATTTTCTTCTCTGTTTCCATTAATTTTTGCCCACTCGCATCTTATTAAATGTTTTCTTTATTAGTTTATTCAAATTCTCCCACGTGGTTGTCATACGCCAAAATTTGACTTTTCTTTTTTGACATTCGTACTTGTCAACTTAGTTTCCGTTTCCTGTAACAGTAATTTTTCTTTTGATTATCTGCTTCAAATTTCCCTTTTACATATGAATTTTCATATTTTCTTGTTCAGTGTTCTAATTTTCTTGTTAGCATTTTTTTGCTTTCTCATTTCCCAGTTTAATATTTTTACTTTCAATAAATTTTGTCACCGCCACCTATACTCACTTTCAGTAAATAACACCTTTGTTAGTACACTATTTATCCGCTAAATTTAAAATTTACAGTTTACTACATTGATTCGTTAAAAATCTAAATAATGTCTTGAGAGTCTGATAATTTTACTTTTTACTTTTTTACTTTTTACTTTCATTAATTGACGTTATATCCTTAAAAATTTTTAAACTGTGCTTGTAAAAACTATTTTGTGTTGTTTAGTTGATAATTGTCTTACATGTGTTTTAATTAATTTATTCAAACAGACATCTCGCGGTTTAACCTAACCTAAAATATTTAAAAAAAAAATACTATTGTATTACATATTAATTTTTTAACTCGTTTTGTTAAACTTTATGTAGCGCTTCCTTTATGGAAATAGTCAAGGTTATTGTTTAACTTTCTTTTGTGTTTTTTCTGTTATTTTGTATATGTTAAAGTCCGTTCATGCTTTTATAATTATTTTTTATTACAACTGACTCCTTGACATTCCATTTAGGTGTGCCTGATGATGAAGTGACAGCTTCGAAACCGGTCGCCAATTAAATTGACTTGTGAGAAATAAAGGACCTTTTCTTTAACCCCTTACACTTAACCTGAAGTTAATTTAAAGCGTGTAAAAAGGTAATGCATTACCACATATAATAAATGTAAAACACTAAATAAAACACGCAGGACCTCGTATAAATATTTTGTCCACGACCACTTAATAATAAATCAATATTCTACCTCCTAACTAAAAGCATATAGTACCCATATATCACGGAGTGAATTATGATAATTCACGCTTTTGTAATTCTGGCACATTCCGGTAGATAACTAAAGATAGGCGATACTTTTCATAACGATATTTTCTAGATCCAAAAATCAAAAAATCGATAAATCAAAAAATCGATAAATCAAAAAATCGAAAAATCAAAAAATCGAAAAATCGAAAAATTGAAAAGTGGAAAAAACAACAGTTAGTTCTATGTTTAATAAAAATTTTCCATTCTACACTTAACTTTTATTTCATAAAGAAACCATAATGGTCGTGGACAAAGTATAGTATTAGACTCGTAATTTATGGCCATTATTCACTCGGGTGACTTGCGTTCCTCGCCTACGGCTCGGGACGCAAACGTCACCCTGCGTGAATAATGGCTACCATAAATTGCTCGTTTAATAATATACTATTATCCTAAAAACCCTACTTTAATTTAAATCACAACGATATTAAATTAAATCAAAGTATTTTTTGAATGAAACGCAATATAAGGATATGTTTATGGAAATAATTGTAATAAACAAAGATTTACATACCTCAGTAACGTCAAAAATGTAAAAACAAAGCTCAACACGATATTCTTATGACCGAAATCAATGGTGACTATTTGTTACGAGGTACTGCATTTCAAAACAAAATAAATTTTACGAGGTAATGAATTTTCCTGTAGAGACCTTTTACGCGGCTCTCGTAAATTTTTATAAACGTTGTCAGTAGATGGCGCGGTCAGAACCGAAAATATTCGTGTAATAAACTTGAAATGGGGAAAAATGCCACATACGAGGTACTGCACTTTAGCGGTCGATATATGATCCTATAGTGAACACGGATGTCCACTTTAGGAATTTGAACTGAAATTGAGATGTTACTTTTACCTTTAATAAAACAATAACCAACGATATGTTTCAAGTTTTATTAGGAACCGAGGCTAGGCTTCAGTAGTGAACATAGGGTGTTCACTATTAGACCATATAAGTGTCCACTATTGGATTGAATTTTTATACATTTTTTTTTATTTATAACAGTTTATAAGTAAAAATGTATAAAGATTTATTCTTGTTTTAATAATTGTTTAGGTTTTTAAGTTTTCAATTTATTTTAAGGTTAATAAAAAAAATTAAAATCCTAGAACAGTATATGTTAGGTGCTGTTGAGGCTGTAAATAGGGGAATAATTGTTTTATTTTGTAGGTTATCCCTAATAAATTTGAAGTTATAGAAATATATCCTATTTATAAATGCTAGAAGTACTGATAAACTGTCAGAGTGATGTAGCGGTGAGGATTTAAATCGAATGATGATGTATCATGCACTTACAAAAAAATGGAAGTTAAACTTACATTACAGTTTTTTTTAAGACGATATAAAAATAAATATTGCACTTGGCTCAATTAATTTAAGAAACTATATAGTTGTGTCTATGTTAGGTGTGTACCTATATCGGTCAATTTTAGAGAAATTATGTATGAGATAAGAATTATAGATAATTAGAGCACAAACAATTTTTATTTGAATAATTTTCTTAAAAATTCGATTTTTTTACGTTTTGTAAAATTTCTCGAATACGGGCTATTTTAGGTAAATTTGTATAAGACAAAAATTATAGAGGATAATAATATAAGTAACATTGAAGAATTTTCTTCTCCAAACGTAAATAACATATATTCCATAAAATATAAAAATGACCATCTATAAAGTACCCCCCAGATGTTCAGATTCTGCCCAAAATCTAATCATTTCACCTCATGCCGGAATAAGACTTAAGTTTAAAATTTAATATTTTTTCTTTATCCGTTTTTGAGTTTTCTTCAAAATTCGAAATTTACGCGTTTTCTCAAATATCTCGAATACGGTCCATTTTAGAGAAATTATGTATAAGATAAGCATTATAGAGAATTATACCAAAAACAATTTTTATTTAAACAATTTTCTTAATAATTCGATTTTTTACATTTTGTAAAATTTCTCGAATACGGGCCATTTTAGGTAAATTTTGTATAGGACCAAAATTATAGAGAATAATAATAAAAATAACTTTTATTTAAAGAATTTTCTTCTCCAAACGTATATAAGATATATCCATAAAATATAAAAATTACCCTCTATAAAGTACCCCCCAGATATTCCGACTCTACTCAAAATCTAATCAGTTCACCGCAGGCCGGAATAAAGCATAAGTTTAAAATTTGGTGTTTTTCTTTGTATCCGTTCAGGATTTATCAAGAATACAGACACACACAGATATCATCGCGAAAATAGTCAAAACTGATTCGGGGGACTTCAAAACGTAAAAATTCGTCGAAAAAAATCATGAATCCTATACTTTTCTTATCTGTATGCAGACAGGAAAGTAAAAAATCGTTTTCTAACCTAAGCAAAAAGATAAGTTGGGCCTTAACAAAATAGTATTGCACAATAA